GCTTTTTTCTTTTTGCTTAAGTGGTGCTGAGGAATCGAACCCAGGGCCTCAGGCATGCAAGGCAAGCGCTCTACCACTGAGCCACCTTCCCAGCCCCTGTAAGTGGTTTATGTGCATGCTAATTTAATCCTTAAAAGTAGATGTTGTATCCCTTTTACTGATAAGGAAATAGAGGTGCAGACAAATTAAATCCCAGTCCCAGGTCACACAGGCTAAAGGTAAGCTTGACCCCAGAACCCATCTTCACCTAAGATTCCTTGATCGTCAAGTCCATGTGTGAGAATGTAGGTTTTACCAAACTCTTACTTGGGTAGCCTTTTGCCGAGAAGCTGGCCAGATGTGCCCAGCAGATGCAGGCAGGACTTAGTTAATGATTAATGTGTGAGCTGCAGTCAGCTGCAACTACCACTTGTAGATGAAGCCGGCAGGACACACCTGTGTGCTAGGTGTAGAGTATTTCCTGCTGGCTCTGCACAACCGGTTTGCCTTTCCTTCTGCGTTCCTTAGAGACCCTGCTGGCTCTGCATAACCGGTTTGCCTTTCCTTCTGCGTTCCTTAGAGACCCTAAGTAGAATCTGTTGATTCTGCCATCCTACACAGTTACATAGTATTTTATTTTCCTTGTGGTATTTAGTCACTGAATACAAGGCTTCTCGGTAGTTAGGCAAACACTACCATTTTAACTATGTATTCTCAATCCTTTGTCTTTATTTTGGATTTGAGGTATGGTTATACTAACTTTACCAAGTCTGGCCTCAAATTCATAATCCTTTCAGCTCTTGAATACACCACCATGCCCCGCTGATAGAGCTTTTGTCTGAGGGGCTGATGGTTCAGAGCTGCACTGTAACCTGCTCAGTGCTGCTTTGTGCAGTGGGGCAGCTGGCCTTAACCACCTCTTGTTTTATTGATGCAGTGATCATTAGTTCATGCTTGGAATATGCACAGGATGACGGACAATAAGGATTTAGAAGCTGAGAACCACCCCTTGAAGAATGAAGGCAGAAAATCACAAGAAAATCTGAAAAATCAGTTGAAAAATGAAGACCATTTGAAAAGCAAGCCTCTGCAGTCCAGGCTCTCGCGCTGCCGGGCAGTGGCCTTCTTCCTCTCCTTGTTTATCTGCCTTTCTGTCGTGTTTGTGGTCTCATTCCTTATCCCATGTCCAGCATCACTTCAGATGTGGAGGATTGATTACAACGCTGCCGGTGAGCCTCAAAGGGTCTCTCCTCTCGCCAGCTTCCAAACGCTCTCCTGGGCAGCAGGATGTGTCTGTGGGTCCAAAGGTGGAGCTTGACGGGCACTACTTCATCACTCAGTCACTGGTGACTGTATCCAAGGCATTCTGGGATTTATAAAGAGAGCTGTTGATTTGGGGGGGCAGTACAGAGTATTAGGCCACACAGCCCCAGTCCTTAGGGACCTGTGGAGCAGCCTGAGTACAATGGAAGTACTGCTTGGATGGGTAAATCAGCACAAGTGGCCTGTGGGTTACATTTCAATGAAAGAAATCAAATGGCTAAGGATTTAGAGATGGCCGTGTAACATGTGAAAAACATGCAGCATTACGTTGATGTGCTCTGGCCAATATAAAACTGCACCAAAGTGCACCTTCCTTTCTCTTCCCCTAAATCGGTGCTTGTGAAAGAAAAGCAATTGAATTGGCCTTACTTGGTCTCCTGGGAAACAGCATGTTCCCAGTCAAGCTGCTGGTGAGTGTAAGAGGTTTCAGATCTTTGTATACTTTCCCTTTTCTGGTGTGGTAAGCTGGTCCTGGGGCTTGAACCCAGGGTCTGGGCTCTGTCCTAGAGCCTCTCTGTGCTCAAGGCTAGTGCTCTACCACTTGAGCCACAGCACCACTTCTGGCCTGAGCTGGCTTTGAGCCTCAATCCTCAGCCTCCTGAGTGTAAGGGTTACAGGCCTGAGCCACCAGCAGCCGGCTTGCCATCTCCTCTTGGTGCCTGCCAGTAACTAGAGTTACAAGCACACACTACCATGCTTGCCCTACTTATTGAAATGGGCTCTTACTATTTTTTGTCCAGGCTAGCCTTGAATTACAGTCCTCCCAATTTCTGACCTATCCCTGCCTCAACCAGCAAGCATGTGCCTTCACACTTGGCTTTTATCTAGACTTTTAGTGTTCATAATGCTTGATGGTGTTTAGTGTACATCTTGCTCATCTTTTATTAAATGTATATCAGAATATTCTCTTTTTTCTATGTGTGCTGGTTCTAGGACTTGCACTGAGGGCTTGGATGCTGTCCTTGAGCTTTTGTGCTCAAGGCTAGTACTCTACCACTTGAGCCAGAGCTCCATTTCTGACTTTTTGTGATTGATTGGAGATAAGAGTCTCATAGACTTTCCTGTCTGGGTAGGCTTTGAACTGGGATCCTCAGACCTCAGCCTTCTGAGTAGCTAAGATGACCAGTGTGGCCGTGGCACCTGGCTGCAAGGTTATGGATCTTTCAACATTAAATATGACTTCACTATTAGTTCAGAGAGATTGGTCTTATCATTAAAGGGTATTGGATTTTGTCAGATGCCTTTTGCATGTCTACACGTATGTAGTATTCTGTCACATGGAGTATTAGTTGATTTTACATTTGTTGAACCAATGCTGGGTTCCTGGGATGAAAAGCATTAGATCAATAGTTGAGAAAATTTTTTACAGGACAGTACCAAGAATTAAACTTAGGGCCTTGTGCTTGTTACTACTAGTAAAGCAAGTACTCTACTACTTGAGCTAATCTTTCCCCTTCCTCCTTTTGCTTTTACTCTTGCTGACTTTGCCCAGAACTACCTCAGACTGCAATCTTCTTACCTCTGGCCTTCTTAGTAGCAAGGATTACAGGCATGTACCCCTATGACCAGCTCATTTTTTTTCCACTACTGGGGCTTGAACTCAGGGTCTTGAACTCTAATTTTGGCTCTACCACTTAAACCACACCTCCATTTTCAGCTTTTTCCAGTGAATTGGATATAAGAGTCTCACAGATTTGTCATGCCTAGGCTATTTCTTTGATCCCTAGAGCTTAGCCTTCTGTGTAGTAGGATTATAAAGCAGAAGCCACTGGTGCCCAGCTTCCAGCTGATTTTTGATAGGATATTACTAACTTTTGCCTGGCATGACCTCAAAATCTGGGATTATAAGGATGCGCTACCATGTCTAGCTCTGTTTTCCTTTTTCTGAATATTTTAAATAAAAATTGATTGAATCTGTGGAGTCACACAAAGGGCCATCTGCCCCCACATTTTGCTTATCCATCCATCCATTAATGTACATGACAATTTCTACTTTGGGGCCATTGTGGATAACGCTGCTATACACAAGTAATATGAATCCTTGCTTTGAATTTTGGCAGATAAGAACCAAAGGAATGGAGCTTCTGGAACACATGCTACTTAACTCTTCTAAGAAGCTGCCAGACATTCTTTACGTTGTTGCACCTTTTTACATTCTCACCAGCAATGCACAAGAGTTCCCAGAACAACATTTGTTTTCTGCTTTTGTTTTTGTTTTCCTGAGTACAGAGTCATAATGGGTCTGAAAAGATATCTTAAGGTTTTTTCATTTCCCTAATTACTAGTGATAATGAACATCTTTTTATGTCCTACTGGGCCTTTGCATCTCTTCTTAGGAGAAATGTTTATCAAATCCTTTCCATATTTTTCAACTGAATAGCTGAATTTGCTGTTTAGGATACTCTTAAAATATTCTGGGTTGGAAGTGGCACCATGACTCAAGTGGTAGAGCACTTGCCTTGAGCTAAAGAGCTCAGGGACAGCGCCCAGGCCGAGTTCGAGCTCCACCCCTCTCTCTCTCACACACACACACACACACACACATACACACAGCGTAATCCCTGTCCTACATATGATTTGTAAATACTTTCTCCTATGTCATAGGTTATCTTCTTACCATTTTTTGGCGGGGGGGAGAGGGGAATCAGTTGTGGGGCTTGAACTCGACCTGGACACTGTCCCTCAGCTCTTCAGCTCAAGGTGAGCCACAGCACCACTTCTAGTTTTCTTGTGGTTAATTGTAGGTAAGAGTCTCACAGACTTTCCTGTGTAGGCTGGCTTTGAACTGCAATCCTCAGATCTTAGCCTCTGGAGTAGATAGGATTACAAGTGTGAGGCCACCAACACCACTTTTTTTTTTTTTTTTTGGTCTGGTCGTGGGGCCTGAACTCTGGGCCTGGGCGCTGTCCCTCAGCTCATTGTTAGCGCTCTACCACTTGAGCCTCGGTGCCACTTCGGCTTTTTTTTTTTTTTTCTTTTTTGCTTATGTGGTGCTGAGGAATCGAACCCAGGGCCTCAGGCATGCAAGGCAAGCGCTCTACCACTGAGCCACCTTCCCAACCCTACTTAAGTCATTTTGAACCATGCCTCCACCTTGTTTTTTTTTTGTCGGTCTGGGGCCTGAACTCTGGGCCTGGGCGCTGTCCCTCAGCTCTTCAGCTCAAGGCTAGCGCTCTATCACTTGAGCCACGGCACTATTTCTGGATTTTGCTTATGTGGTGCTGAGGAATCGAACCCAGGGCCTCAGGCATGCAAGGCAAGCGCTCTACCACTGAGCCACCTTCCCAACCCTACCACCAACACCACTTTTGAAGGTCAATTTCTTTTTTTCTTTTTCTTTTTTTGGTACTGGGGTTTTAACCCAGTACCTCACACATGATAGGCAGGTTCTCTACCTACCTTGAACTATAGCTCAATTTTTTTTTTTTTTGTACTGTTCCTAGGGTTTTGAATTCAGGACTTGGGCACTGTCCCTGAGCTTTTGTGCCAAAGGCTAGCACTGAACCACTTGAGCCACAGCTCTGCTTGAGCCACAGCTTCATGTCTGGCTGTTTTGTTGGTTAGAGAGAAGAGTTTCACAGACTTTCCTGCACATGCTGGCTTTGAACCATGATCTTTAGATCTCAACCTTCTGAGTAGGTAGGCTTACAGGTATGAGCTACTGATATCCAGTGTTGACCCTTTTTTAATTTTAATTTTTATTATTTTTTTGGGGGGGTCCGGTCATGGGGCCTGAACTCTGGGCCTGGCCGCTGTCCCTCAGCTCTTCAGCTCAAGGCTGGCGCTCTACCACTTGAGCCACAGCGCCACTTCCGGCTTTTTTCTTTTTGCTTATGTGGTGCTGAGGAATCGAACCCAGGGCCTTGAGCATGCAAGGCAAGCGCTCTACCACTGAGCCACCTTCCCAGCCCCCTTTTTTTATTTTTGAGTCAAGATCTTAATCTATAGCCATACCAGCGTCAATATGCCTGATCTTGTCTGATCTCAGAAGGTGGTCATTTAAGTCTTTTGGTGAAAGGAAGCAGCAAGCACTTAGGCTGCGTCTGTCCCACACTGGCCTAGGACTCTCTCCTTAACAAAAGGTATACAAAAGACCTTTTCATGGTACCAGAATGTCTGTCATGTTCCTTGGTAGTGTACTTAGGCAATGGAGATGAGGATCTTGAGTTCACAACCAGCCTGGCCTACAGAGCAAGATCCTGTTATGCACACACACATGCACGTGCACACGGAAAGGAAGATGTTCCCATTTTCATCCTCATGAAGATTTGCTGCACTTCTGAAGAGAAACTCTGGAAAATGTTTCTTCTTAGTGAGGAATATGCTACTTTTGTTGGGTGACAGGTTTCATTGCACAACAGACTCCAGAACAAAAGTGTATGGTGCATGGCCTTCCCCGTAGACAGTCATACCCTCGGCAACACTCTGTGGATTTTTTTTTTCAGTCATCTACGACTTTCTGACCATGGAGGACATAAACAGGGACAGGATTCAAGATGTTCTCTTCCTTTATAAAAACACCAACAGCAGTAACAATTTCACCAGATCCTGTGCTGGTGAAGGTAATTTTTACTTTATCTGAACAAGGGGCTCTCTGTGGGAAGGGTCCCCTCTCCCTTCTATGGTATTTGGGTCTGGCAGAGGTGAGATGGCCGGCTCCCCTCCCCACCCCACGGGGCCAAGGCCATCACTACCCCAGGTAGGTGAGGATTAGGGAAATGGGTGCTGGCCTAGGCAGGGTCAGTGAGGACAAGAGCTGGCAGTGTAGCTAGGCCAGCCTGACCAGCCAGTGCGGTTTTCCTTCTAGGCTTTTCCACCCCCTGTGCCTTTGTGGCTGCTGTGTCTGGGGCCAATGGTGAGATCCTCTGGGAGAGGCCTGTGGCTCAAGACGTGGCCCTGGTGGAGTGTGCTGTGCTGCAGCCGTCAAACAATGAGGCGTCTTCTACCTGCATCTTTGTAGGAAGACCTGGTTCTCTCATTGCAGTTGACCTATTCACAGGTACGCTGCCAAGGAAGATGTTCTTACTGGGGAGACTTCCAGGTGTGACTACTGGGAATTCACACACCTCAGGCCCTCCAGCTGCTTGGCATATGACACTCATGTCTTACAATGCCCGATTTGCATGTTTCAGTTACATGAGGCAATCGGCATCACCCACATGGGCAAACAAGTGAAGAGGAGATGCGTAATGGCTAATCTGGCCCTGTTGGTGCTTGTACTCTGGGGCTCAAGTCGGCTGAGCCTTAACAGGCCGTATGTGAGCACCAGGGGAAGAAAGCATCGTGAGAAGTAACTTGGAGATGGCCCAGAGCCATAAGGCATTCTGTGCCTCGATTGATAGATTTTGGTATTTCCCTTACATGCTGTTGTTTTGCTTACGTATGTATTAGCCTAAGTGTGTGTGGTGCTGGGATCCATGCTAGCAAGTACTCTATCACTGATCTACACATTCAGACCAAAGTCTCGGCTCGGTGGCTCACACCTACAATCCTAGGCTGAGATCCAAGGATCATGGTTTGAAGCCAGCTCAGGCAGGAAAGGCCATGAGACTTTTTTTTTTTCTTTTTTTGTCAGTCATGGGGCCTGAACTCTGGGCCTGGGCGCTGTCCCTCAGCTCTTCAGCTCAAGGCTAGCGCTCTATCACTTGAGCCACAGCGCCACTTCCAGCTTTTTCTGTGTATGTGGTACTGAGGAATCAAACCCACATTCCCAGCCATAGGCCCTTTTTTGGGCATTCTCCTTCCTGAAGCTAAAGGATGTACCTGTGTCTGGAACCAAGGCAGGTTCCTGGGGGTTTCCAGCCCTGGCAGGGTCAAGTCCTGTCCCCTGAGTAGGCGGGCAGTCAGTGGCCAAGTCTCCTGTAACAGACCTTGCTCAGGACCTACTAATAGGAAACTCAGACATGAAATAAGGAGTGACTAGCAGCTACCATTTTCTTGTGGGCACTCAGTCGCTTTTCACTCGGGCGTATTGTATCTGTCTTTCCTCAATGAAGACCGTTAGCTGTGCTTGCTCGTGACCCTGTTTCTGAGCGTGCAGCATGCTTGTGGGTGGATCTGCCATGCGGTTGCCACAGGATACAGGGCCACAAGCAACGGTGATGTGCCTGGTTCCAGGGAACACCCTGTGGAGCCACCCCAGCAACCTCAGCGAGAACACCTCTGTCCTGAGCCCTCTGCTCCAGGTGCCTGATGTGGATGGCGATGCTGTTCCAGACCTGCTGCTCCTCACCCAGGAGGGGAAGAAGGTGAGGATCACACGGCTCTCCTCCCAGGTGGCCCAGGCCCAGCCGCTTCCTCCCGGAAGGATTTGTGTCTGACCACTTGTCTGGACATTCAGCTGGGGCTCTGTACACTGGACTGGCCCGTCCCTCTAGGCAGCTGTGAGCCCTCCCAGAAAGTAGGGCGGGATTTAGCCCAGGGCCTCCTTTACCTCCTAAGCAGGGTGTGCAACACAGATGCTCCCAGTCAGTCGCTCTTATTTCAAGGCATTCTTGCCCCCAAAACCAAGAGAATTGGACGCCTTTTTTTCGACAGCTCCTAAAATGCCCCTCTCCCCGCTGTGGATCCAGGTCTATCTCTCCCCTGCCGCCCTTTTATCACTGCAGGTCAGCGGGGACATCTATTCACTCAACACCGGGCACCAGATTGGCCACAGAGGTGCCCTTGATGTGAATGGAGACCATGGGGCCCTTCTCCACATCACCTGGACAGGTGCACACTACATCCTCCTGCCCTGCGGTACGTCCTCTGCCACACACCTGAGACAGACTTTTCTCTCAAAGCCATGCGGGGACTGGGAAGGTGGCGCAGTGGTAGAGCGCTTGCCTTGCATGCCTGAGGCCCTGGGTTCGATTCCTCAGCACCACATAAGCAAAAAGAAAAAAAGCCGGAAGTGGCGCTGTGGTTCAAGTGATAGAGCGCTAGCCTTGAGCTGAAGAGCTGAGGGACAGCGCCCAGGCCCAGAGTTCAGGCCCCATGACCGGACCCAAACAATAATAATAATAATCAAAGCCATGTGGGTCTTTTTTTTTTAAGTAGTTGTACAGAGGGGTTCTAATTGTGAGTATAATGCTTCTTGGTTAGTGTCACCCCTTCCTTTGTTCCCTCCCTTTTTTCTTGCCCTGGTTACGTAGTTAATTTTTTACATAATTTACACACACACAATGTGTCCCCACACACACACTTTGCCCACCTCCTAAGCTATGTTTCCATTTCCTGGTATTTGTTTTAATAAACGGTAAATTAGTTATTCAGAGGGGTCATGCTTTGCACACGTCCCCTAAGTATACTTGGTCTGTTTATGTGTAGATGTATTGAGCCCTGTACGTGTTGTCAAGTGGTGCTGTTCTTAACTAACAGGCACTTGGGAGAAAACTGTTTCTGAGGGAGGCTACTCCCGCCCCCGGTTCAGCAGCACCTGCTCCACTCCTGCTGTTCTGTTCTGTGTGTTTATTCTGTCAGTGCTCAGGGCCCCCACTCTTACTTGACTTTCTTGCTCAGGACTGGTGCTCTACTACGGGAGCCACACCTTTACTTCCTGCTTTGTTGTTGTTGTTGTTGTCAGTTGGATACAGACTTTTTTGCCTGGGTTGGCTTTGAACTAAAATCCTCAGATCTCAGCCTCTTGATTGGCTAGGATGACGAGTGTGAGCCAGCGTCACATAGCTCCTGCCTGTGTTGCTGGGAGTCGACACACACTGATGGTCCAGGGTGCATGTGGCACTGCGTGCTCCCGGAAGTGGAGCAACTGTGTTGACGTTAGCTCTTCTGTGTTTTGAATAGTGAGCTTTCTCTGTGGCTGCTCCGTGAAGGGTCTTTATGAGAAAGTGACCGGGAGAGATGGCCCGTTTACGAATGACCCCCTCTGGGAGAACATGCTCAATACCTCTGAACACAGGAGGCTTCTGCACAGGTTGGTCTGACACAGAGAACTCCGTCCTACAGGCCATGGGCCTCAGTCAGGTATGATCTGTATGGACATGGGGCAGCCAAGCAGGCACTGGGCCTTGCTGGACGTAGGCCATGGTGCCTCCAGCCACAGGGAGTGGGTCGATGAAAGCCAGGTAGCGCAGAGGGGTGGGAGTGCTGACAGGACTCCTGCCCCCATCCCCCTGCCAGCTCTCAGGACTCCCACCCCCATCCCCCTGTCAGCTGACAGGGCTCCCATCCCCATCCCCCTGTCAGCTGACAGGACTCCCATCCCCATCCCCCTGTCAGCTCTCAGGACTCCCATCCCCATCCCCCTGCCAGCTGACAGGGCTCCCATCCCCATCCCCCTGCCAGCTGACAGGGCTCCCATCCCCATCCCCCTGCCAGCTCAGCTCTCAGGATGGGCAGCCAGGGAGGGAAGGTGTGGCGTTGGGCCCCACAGGAAGCCACCCTGCCGCCGAGGCTTATCCCAAAGTCCCTGAGCACTTTTCTCCCGCTGTCCTCACCCAGCTCTGGAGAAGTCCGCCACCTGATGAACGTCCGAGGGAACACTGGTCAGGACGTGCTCCTTGTGACCTCCGAGGCCTGCGTGCTGCTGGATGGGCAGGAGCTGACCCCCAGGTGGACCGTCAGTGGAGCCCGGATCCTGAGGTACAGTTTTTCTCCAGAGCTGGGCAGTGGTTGCAGACCACACATGGGTCAGCCTCTCCAGAGTCCCCAGCCCATGGGCCGCTGGCACAGCAGATGGCACCTCCGCCAGCAGAATCTCAGCTGCCCTTTGCCTCCGGGTCAGGGGGCCAGCTCCTTGTCCTGGGGCTGGATGTGGGCAGCCCAGCCTGTCTAGATGAAGCCACAGAAGACTGAGTATCGTACCTGTCCCAGGAATTGCCTTTATCTTAGAGCTCCTTATAGAGACCCCTTGTGACCTCTTGTTATCTCTCTTTCTAGAAAACCCATCCTCGGCCACTACAAACCAGACACCCTCGCTGTGGTCATTGAAAACGGAACCGGCATTGACAGACAGGTGGGCTGGGCTTGCTTCCTCTAGAGTCTAACTTGTCTAAGGACAAACTGTGTGAAAGAAGACAGGATTCTGGCCCTTGTAGTGCTGCCTTTGGAAGCGGTGAGGAGGTTCTGGCTGTCCTCGGAGCACGGCTGCCTGCAGTGTTGCTGGCACACGCTGGGGCTGACAGATGGTCTCTCAGCGTCTCCTCCTTCCCCAGATGCTGTTTCTGGACCTCAGCACTGGGGCTGTCCTATGGAGCCAGGCCCTCCCAAGCTTCCCCGGCGCCCCGCCATCTGTCAGCCTGCTGACCACAGACCACCGCTCAGCCTTCTTCTTCTGGGGCCTCCATGAGTTGATTGGCACCAGTGTGATGGTATGGGGATCCTATCAACATCACTGCAGAAGCCAGGGACAGAGCCCAGGCCAGGGCCCTCCTGGAGGCTGTCCGTGACCGGGCCAGTGCAGGATGGGGGGCGGGGGGGGTTGTCCTGAGGAAGTCTTCTTGGGGCATGTGAGAGGGAGCCCGAGAGACTCTGAAGGCCTGTGTTAGGGCAGGCACTAATGGACACCAGGAAGACCAGAGCCAGGCCCAGGGCTGGGGGAAGAGGGAGTTGCAGGTGGGTATGGAGAGGAAGTTACCTGTTTGTGAGCCCCCAGGCAGGACCAGGTTGACACAGAGCTCTAGGCGTGGCCGCTCTGACAGCGCCATCCATGGGGGGGGGGGGTGACCTGAACACTGCCGAGGGCGAGGCTGGGGCCCAGATCTGGCTTGGACAGGAATAGCAGGAGTGAGGCCTGTTGCTGGTCCCCACCCCAGGAGCCCCGAGATGCCCAGCACAGCCTGTACATGTTCCACCCCACCCTGCCCAGTATCCTGCTGGAGCTGGCCAATGTGTCTGCCAACGTCGTTGCCTTTGACGGTGAGTACAGAATCAGCCGCAGGCCTGGGGCTGCTCCCCGCCCCAGCTCTGCGCTGGCCAGTACTGAGAGGTGCTGTTCCCGTGTTCCCCACAGTGGTCCTGTTTGAGCCGAATCGCCATGCTGCCTATGTGCTCCTGACAGGCCCTGCAAGCTCCCATGAGCCTGGCCTGGTCTCCGTGGCCAAGCACAAGGTGCAAGACCTGGTCCCCGGCAGCAGAGTGGTCCGCCTGGGTGAGGGCGGGTCAGAGAGCGACCGGGCCATCAAGGACCGCTTCTCCCGGCTGAGGTACCTCAGTGCAGCCTAGGCAGCGTCAGCTGGAGCACAGGGAGCCGTCTACTCCCTGCTGCCGCCCTGCTGGCCCCTCCCTCCGGACAGCATGACCGCCTCCTCGGGAGCTGTGGCCTTACTAGACGTATTGGGTGGTTGGTGGGAGGGCACACCTGTCCTCCTGGCCCTCCACAGTCTTGCCTACAGCCAGGGGTCAAGGCCAGACTGCCTCCCTGTTGTCTCCCTGGACCACTGGGCAGCGCCCAATCTCCGTGCCCTCCTTACTACTAGCCTCTCACGGGAGGGGCCACGACGGAGAGGCACGCCACCCCCGCTCAGGCGCTGGTTCCCTTTCTCCTGCTCCTGCACCAGCCCCACCCTCGGGGGGGCGGCGAGCCCTGGAGGCATCGTGGGAACTGGCGCCTGTGCAGCCCCTCCTAGAACAGATGGAAGGTGTTGGGTGTGGAGGGAAAAGAATGGTTCTCAGTTCTGGAGAGCAGGCATTGGCTCTGCAGGCGGGCAGGGACTGTACCGCAGTGTATGGTGCCCTTGAGGTCCCAGTGCATGTCCAGGCTGCCCCTCAGGAGGTCCCTGGCCCAGGGGAGGGGAGCACTTCCTGCTCCACTCCTAGTGCTCACTTGAACAGGACTCACTTCTGTGCCTTGTTGCTACTGAGGCCCAAGGGCAGCCGTGTACCAGACCGGAGCCCAAGCTTTGTAGCCAAAGTAGCCCTCTGACTCCGCCATCGCAGAAAACAACAGCATAAATGATTTGCACTGTCACTGGCCAAGTGTGAGTCTTGTGCCATCGGCCTGATCCTGCACTGGGAGTGGTGACCAGGAGGGGCTGGCCAAACTGTGGGCTCCAGGGGGCAAAGGCCCCGCCCATCTCCACCCAGCAGGTGTACCAACTGCGCCCACACCACCTCCACAGGCTCTCTAGGCTGAGGACTTCTGTGCCGTGGGGAAGATGGCGGCCCTGACAGAATGCCCCACCCACCCCGGGAAGATGGTGGCCCTGATAGAATGCCCCTCCACCCCGGGAAGATGGTGGCCCTGATAGAATGCCCCCCACCCCGGGAAGATGGCCCTGGTAGAACAGGTAGAACCTGGGACAGGTGGGGTGCACTCTGGAGAGGAGTTGGGGTTCACTGGTGGCCGCAGGCAGGCAGTCTGTGAGGCTTCATGGGAGACCCTGGGTCCATGGCCAGAGCCCCTCCCACACAGCATCTTGGGCTCCCTCTGCACCTGCACACCCCACTTTCCTTGGAGGCAGGGCACAGATGCGCTCCTCAGCCCCCACCCCCCCCAGTCTGGACAGATCCAGCCCAGAAGGCCCAGTTCCTCCATCAGCCCTACAGCCCAGGACTCCACACACCTCCCCCATATCACATCACACACCACAGGCCTGGGCTGCACACGCTTGCCACACACCGCATGTGTGCACACCACAGGCGGGACCTTGGGAGGCGTTCAGAACGCATGAGGACCAGCAAATTTATTTCTGTGCAGCTGCAGGAGAAGGGGCCAGTGCTGGGGATGGGGTGGTGTGGAGGGAGCCAGTCTTGGGCCTTATTCTGGTATACAAGAGGCATAGGGGTACTTAACACTGGTGACGCAAGTGACACCAGCTCTGCCACCTAGGTGGGAGCCTCATGGTTGGGGTCACGTGTACGCCAATCTGGTAGGAGAGGCCAGGGCTCTGGTGGGAGCCCGTGCCGCGTACAGCAGGTCACAGCGGGAGATTGGAGCCGTCTTGGGCAGGTGCAAGCACACAGACAGGCCCCGACTTATCTTTTGGAAAGTGTGGCTCACTGGCTCACCTAGTGTTCTGGAGATTGGATGGGCATCCAAGATGAGCTGAAGAACACAGGCTGCGGGGCTCTGCCGGCCTGCCCGCCTGCCCTCTAGTGACAGGGCTTGCTGCAGCCCCTCCTGGAGTCGCAGCTGGGCCGGCCCTGCAGTGATGAGGAGAGCATCTAGGCCTCATCACCGCCTGAGGCTGCTGCGGACTCCCCTGAGCCAGGAAGGAGCGCCGGGCTGGGGCTGGAGTGCCGGGGCTTCCGCATGAACGGGAACACCCTGTGGTGGGAAGAGGCTGAGGTGAGGGTGGGTGGCCAGAGGACCCAGTCCCCTAGTTGCATGGGCCTTCCCGGCCAGCAGGCACAAGGCCCTGCCTGAGCTCACCTTCGCCTGGTCTCTGGTGGGGTCACCGCGTCTACCAGAAGGCTCTTGTACATGTCAGACTTCAGGAATCGCGGGTAGGAGTCCTGCAGGAGACAACAGGGCTCCCAACATTCCACTCCTCACCCTTCAACCACATCTGGCCACGCATTGCGGGACCCTGCCCCTGCCTCAGCCCAGGGTGTGGAGGTTGAGGTTAACTACCCCAGACTTGTGCTTCTAGCCACTCAAGAGGCTGAGGCCTGAGGATCAAGAGGAAGCCAGCCCAGGCAGGAAAGTCCATCAGACTCCACTTCCTGAATAACCAGCAAGTCGAGTAGCTTGGCTACTCGAGACTGAGAAGCCAGCCTGGGGAGGAAAGTGCATGTGATACTTATCTCCAATTAACCACCAAAAAGTCAGAAGTGAAGCTGTGGCTCAAGAGGTAGAGTGCCAGCTTTTAAGTACAAGAGCTCAGGAACAGTGCCCACACCCTGAGTTCAAGCCCCAGGACCAACACACACACATGATTTGAAGCCAGTCTGGGCAGACAAATCCTTGACTTTTTTTTTTTTTTTTTTTGGAGGGGTCTGGTCATGGGGCCTGAACTCTGGGCCTGGGCGCTGTCCCTCAGCTCTTCAGCTCAAGGCAAGCACTCTACCACTTGAGCCACAGCGCCACTTCCAGCTTTTTTTCTTTTTGCTTATATGGTGCTGGGGAATCGAACCCAGGGCTTCAGGCATGCAAGGCAAGCGCTCTACCACTGAGCCAACTTCCCAGCCCCTGGCTTTGAACTGTGAGCCTCAATCTCAGCCTAGGATTCCAGGCCTGAGCCACTAACGCCCAGCTTTGGAAATAATCTTATCTCCAGTTAACTAGCAAAAAGCCAAAATAGGCATAGCTCAAGTGGTGGAACACCAGCCATGACTGGGAAAAGCATGACCCCGATTTCAAGCACGAAAAAAACAGCAAAAAAGCAGAGATAAGATGGAGACATGGCTCAAATGGTGGAGTGCCATCCAAGTAAGGAGGCCAAGCAAGCATGCGGTCCTGTGCGGCAGCTCACCCCTATAATCCCAGCTGTTTGGGAGGTAGAGATAGGACAAGTTCAAATGACAATCCAGGAAAAGTTAGAAGCCCTATCTCAAAAAAAAGGAAGTAGAGTTGTGGCTCCTGTGGTATAGTGTTAGCCTTGAATTAGGAAGCTGAGTCAAGTCCCAGGACTGGCACAGAGTAACACACAAAGGGCTAGAATGGGCACTTGCTAGGTAAGCCTGAGTTTATCTCTGTAACCTGTACAGCAATTCCCAGGCAGGGAAAGTAATAGCAGAGCTGTCTAAGGCAGACCCCCAGTTGAATGCATGTAAAAAGAAGCAAATGTTTTCCAGGTGCCGTGCTGCACCTGGACAGGAGGAGCTGCGTCAGCACCCTCAAAAACCAGGATTTCAAGTCAGGCACCATGGCTCACACCTGTAATCCCGCTACTCCGGAGGCTGGGATCTCAGGATCGCACAGTTCAGACACAGCTGGGGAAGGAAAGTCCAGGAGACTCTTATCTCTAATAAACTACTCAGAAAATGCTAGAAATGTTGCTATGGCTCAAGTGGTAGAGCACTAGCATTAAGCACAAACAAGCTTAGGGACAGCACCCAGGCCCCAAGTTCAAGACCCAGGACAGCAAAACAAAACAAAAGCAACACAGGATCTCAGTGTGGGTGGAGGTCCCAGGTCAAAGAGGTTGAGAAAAATTTCTAACCTGAATCTGGATTGGAAATACAGTGTACACTCTTGATAATGCGTAGACGTGCTGGATTTGAACTCAGGGTCTTGGATTTGCAAGGCGGGCATTCTACCACTTGAGTCAAGCCTCCGGATACTTTTTCCTGGTACACAGTTTTGAACTCAAGTACCTTGTGCTACCTGGCTTGCCACTTGAGCCATGCCTCCAGCTGGGGATTTCACAGGAGGCTGCCCAGGCTGGCTTTGAATTACGGTCCTCCAGGTTTATGGACGTGAACCACTGGCACCACGCCGCTCAAGCCATTCTTTTTTTTGGGGGGGGGGTCCAGTCATGGGGCCTGAACTCTGGGCCTGGGCGCTGTCCCTCAGCTCTTCAGCTCAAGGCTAGCGCTCTACCACTTGAGCCACAGCGCCACTTCTGGGTTTTTTCTTTTTGCTTATGTGGTGCTGAGGAATTGAACCCAGGGCCTCAGGTATGCAAGGCAAGCGCTCTACCACTGAGCCGCCTTCCCAGCCCTGAAGCCATTCTTGATCATGGTAAGGGAAAGGACGCCCTGGAGGAGCGCAGAGGGCCGTGCCGTGTGGACGATGCCCCCACAGACAGGTGGCAGAGAGGTGGACCTTCACACGCTGCGGTCTACCCAAAGCTGGGTTAAGTGGAAGGCATTCTTGACAGACAAATACCGATACTGGAGATAGGCCCGAAAGGCTCCATGAAGCAGGGACCCGGAGGCTGCCACCCACCTTCTTCATGAGCATGTAGATGTGCAGCTGCGCGTCGTCCAGGACATAGCGGTGGGGCTGGGACAGCCCCTCCAGCGTCTGCTCCATCGTCCGGCTGTCAATGTTGACCCAGCGGGCAGCTCCAGGGGCCAGAAACTGCCTGGGGAGGGAACGGCCCAGTGGGTCCAGGCCAGGGCCTGCCTGCCCGCTGAGCAGGGCCACCCACCCCCACTCACTGGTACACCGAGTCCACCAGGCCAGGGACCTGGGCCTGGCCGCCGAAGCGCAGCTCCTCGCACGCCTCCCAGAAGCTGAGGTTCTCTGCTGGAGGCCAAGCACCACATCAGGGGCCCAGCCTCAGCCGACTGGGCACCAATGGCTGGGTGGGAGGGGTCCCAGGCCCATCCCCCCTCTTGGGCCTAGGGCAGGGGTAGGAGCTGCTTACCACTGAACTCCTTCTGGAGAAAGTCCATGAAGTGAGCCCTGCCCACAGGGTCCCCCAGGAGCTCCCAGAAGCTGAAGCCCCAGCGCTCCACACGCAGCTTAGTAGGTGTGGCCACACTGGGTGGGGAGAGAGGTGGGGATGCTGACTCTTGCCAGCCCAGGCCGGCGGTGCCCCTCTGTGGCCGCCCACCCACCCGCCCACTTGGGGCTCACGTCGGAGCATTCAGGGTCCAGTAGTCCACACTATCTGTGATCCAGGGGTTGCTGGGCAGGCACCCTGCCATGATCGGGTCGTGTGAACTGCGCTGGCTGCTGAACTTAAGGTACCTAGGACATACCAGTAGCTAGTGCGGACCGGCCTTGGGGAGGAGGCTCTGGAGAGTCGGGGGGAGGGTACCGCACACTCACGCCTCAAGACAGATAGAGGACTTCACCCGGGTCCTGCCAAGCGCTTTCCTGGTGTAGTCAATCTACAACACGGGACCCGAGTTGAGAGCTGGGACCTGGACCGGCAGGATGGACAGACCCTTCTCCACACTCCCCCCACCCTTAGAACTTACCTCCCGCTTGTAGAAGTCCGAGCTCTGGGTCTAGAAAGGCAGAGGCCGCAGTTACCAGGCAGGTGTGGGGGGACTGGAAAACCCACCAACCCAGCACCCACGGGCCCACCCCCGGAGCCCTCTCCTCTACAAGGCCTCTGGAAGCCAGGGTCTCAGCATTGGAACCTGAACTTTGGGCCTTGGGCTCGCTGGGCAGGTGCTCTGTTCTCAGACGTATTTCTAACCAGACGTGTGAAGTCCTCGTCTAACTCAAAGCTCCAGCGCTCCCCCGGGCAGCGGCTGAAGTCTGGGTTGAAGTGAGAAGGCGGCGGCTAGCTGCCCAGGCCCCAACCCTCCACAGCCAACACTGAGGCGGGGCTGAAGTGGAGGCCGCTGCTGATTTCCCATTTACCCCAGCTCTTTGGCTGCCTTCGCGTACAGAAAAGTTAGGGTGCTGACATTAGCCGTAAGAAATAGGATCTGCTGTGGATGGGGTTTGAGGGGCTGACGTGTCAGCATCTGTCTGCCTCCATCCCTTCTCTGGTTTGGAAGCCACCAGAAGCCCTGGAGGGAGAGGGCTGGGGCCAGGTTCCCCGGCCGTAGTCCTGTTGGTCACCCTCCCACCTCCCTGGACTCTGACACTGTCCAGCCCAGGGAGAGCCCCGCACCCTCTCCTGGGGCCTTTCCGCTTATGCGCACCAGGGCCAGGTGGAGGTGCAGGGGCCCAGGGCAGGGGCGGGGCTGAGGGAGGGGCTGGCGGAGGGTGGGGCTGAGGGAGGGGCTGGCGGAGGGCGGGGCTGCATGAGGGGGCTGGCAGTGGGCGGGGCTGCATGCAGGGACTGGCAGCGGGCGGGGCTGAGGGAGGGACTGGCGGAGGGCGGGGCTGGCAGTGGGCGGGGCTGCATGCAGGGGCTGGCAGCGGGCGGGGCTGAGGGAGGGACTGGCGGAGGGCGGGGCTGAGGGAGGGACTGGCAGTGGGCAGGGCTGCATGCGGGGGCTGGCAGTGGGCGGGGCTGAGGGAGGGACTGGCGG